ACAACAGGCCGCGACAAAGGGGTATATAACAGGGGGGGGGGGGGGCTGCCCGCGACAAAAAGGGTTTTGATTCACAGCCAAATTCCCTTATCCCCACTAACCACCAGTAAGTTTGTAGGGGCCTGACCAGTGAAAAATCAAAGGGTGGTATTTGAAAAAATCCCATAGAATCAGGGTGGGCCCTAGAGTCCCATTGTGATCCCCATGTCCGTCGGATCCCTGATAATCCCAAAGTGTCAAAATTTCCCCAACTTGGATTGCTTATCACTTCTTGCCTGGCTGAACCCATGAAATTGTCACCCAGACCACCAAAATGGTGCAGAGATGGCATGCCATAGCCATGTTGTGCGTTGAAGTTGTTGTTACCAGGCATGGTCTCGAAGCAGTCTCCAAACCCAGACTCAATGGAATACTTCCTGATGGTGGTCTTAATGGGCAGTTTCATCCAATGAGGCCAGTCCCAGAAAGAAGGTGACATATGGCTTTGAAAGACAAGAGGTGAGTGCGACTTCTCACGGCTGAGGCTACACGGCAAGTTTGGCATCGATGCTAGTGGTTCAAAGGGCGGCGTCCGCCGAGATCAACAGCCGCTTTTCAACAAGCCAGCCTGTCCAGGTATATTATTGTACCCAAATGATATTCACGAGGCCGCAAGTTAGATTATGTACACATATTTGGAGACGAGTAAGGGCTTTGTAGGGATTAGTTGTGTCACAGATGCCTTTTCGGTTCCTAATTTTGGACGCAGGATTCCTGGTGGTCTCTGGGCATCACGGCTATGAAAGACGTCTAGCTGGGCGCTTCGGGTTCCTTATCAATTGCTATCAGGATGTAGGCAGGGCGTGTTTATGTTTATCTGCTCAGCTATGCATTTACAACCCTACAGTAGCTTGCTGTAGCATGTTACGCCCGCTGATATAAGCAGACACATCGGTTTCCATGCCATCTAACCACCCTGCCGCAACAAGCACCCTCTCCATGAGGGTGTGGAGTGCTGACATTTTATTTCTGCCCGTGGGCCTGAAAACAGACGGGCACCTGATAGTCGGGAGGGGCCGGGCGCCTTTTGTGCGATGTTCCTTCCCTACCTGTTGGGAAGCAAAGGGGAAGCATACGGGAGGATTCAAAAGACCAGTGCTATGCGCACCATTGCACTTGTCACTGCCCACTGAGTTTGTCCTTTGGGTTTCACACCCTGCCATGTCTGCAGGTGTATCCTAAACTTCTCTAGCATGGCAAATCCAGCGGGGTAACCCTAATGAGGGCAAGCAAACAATCCACCACAGAATTCGCACAACATGCCCCAACCTTCGAAGAACCACCCTGGGGTTTGTAGAGCCGTCGGCGCTCATATTCACCTTTTCAAGAAAACTCCACTACTTGCTGAACGGTTCGTAGAATTCGTGGTCGGGTTTTGACGCCTGCAGAGCTTGTAGAACCTGCCGCGCTTCCCCTGCAATCCGACTAGCATCCAAATTCAAGCGACGAGCGAGGCATAGCCGATGCCATCGAGCAGGGTGTTTCAATCTGCGCGCCATCTGTTTTGACGGACACTTTCAAGGAGATTTATCCGGTGACGTTTGTCGAGTGCAGCAGAATCGCTGAGTGCCCACGCCTTCTACACGCAGGGCAATGTAGCGCGATGATTGTGTCAGAGGATATCATTGGCAGCATGCATGCAGGCACTATCCAGGAAGGAGACTGTGAAGATGTGAGAAGCGGAAGCATCACTGAAGAAGTTGGACGGTGTGAGAGCACCCACCGGGGAGTACCGCGAAACGACTGTGACCTCATCAAGGTGGGCGACCTCCTGTGGAGTGTGCCTCTGTCCTTCCCCATCAGCGAGAGCACCCAGGTGAGAATTTGAGTCGCTTTCTTCTTCCAAACCGTTTTGATTTTTGGGTCCTGTGAGTTGTAAGTCTTCAGAAGCTTGTTCCAGGGCTCGCGTTTCTGCAATTTTCAATGTTGGGGCATTCGAGTGTTATTTCAGATTCGTTTGTGCAAGCAGCGCTCCTTGAATTGCTATGGTTGGATGGTTTCCGATGTTTTGATTTTGTGTTTGGGTCAGCTGTGGCATTGCAAGAAGGAATCAAGACGTGTGTTCCCCGATGTGCTCAAGGGACCGCCCGCAGTTTCTCTAACCACGTCCATAACAGTTTGATCCTTAGTAAGGGGATGCAAAGAGCGACCCGTCACATTTTTACAAAGTCCCAAAAGGAGCTATAGTCTAAACTCCTTAAAGGGGGGTTATATAGGGGATCACTTAGGAGACTATTATGGGGCTTATTAAGGGGGATACTAGGAGTTTAGACTATGGCTCAAATGCTTCGGGAATGGGAGAGCCAGTGTCTGATTATTCATCTCCACATTCTCTGCTCAAAAGATCAGAGACAGATGTCCATAGAAGACTTTGCTGTGAGGTTGAGGAGCATATGAGTACCCATGAAGCTTAGAATCGGAAAGTGTGCAGAACTCAAATCGCCGAAAAGAGCGGGGTAAGATCCTTCAATCCTTGGCCCAGTCCCGAAATAGATCTTTCAAACGAGTGTCTTTAAGACTCGCTTCCTTGTTTTGAGATATTCTTCGCCTATCCCTTGACAAAAAAGTCCTGCATGAGCCAGAATCTATTCTATTCCTAAGGGGCATGATATAGGGGATTATGTAAGGGACTAGTACAGGGGTTACTAATGGGGATACTAGGAGACCTATGATAGGGCTTATTAAGGGCGATACTAGGAGTGTAGATATCTAGGGATCCAAATAGCCCAATGTAGGTAATACTTTAAGGCCCAATGTAGGGATCATTTGTATACATGCATCCCTATATCACCCCAATATCCATGTCATTTCCCATTTTCTTTTCCATATGATTCTCCATTATAAATATAACCTCTATCATACATGGATCCATACAGGATCATCCCCGAAGCCCCCCGGAGCAGCTTCCGTGAGGAATGGCTCACAGCATGTCTTGGGCTGTCACTCGGGCCATTGCAAGAGGGGTGTTTGAGCAGGCCGGTTTAGGGCTTAGGGCCTATAGGGTTTAGGATTTAGGTAACCTTGGACTCAGAAAGCCTGTTGCAGAAAAGGCATCCTTGGCTTGGGTTCAAAAAGCTTATGTAGGCTCTCTTGGAATGTATCGGATCTGAGAGGTCTTAGATATTGCAGTACATATACCTGCTTCATCATTTGAAGGATCTTTTCGTGCCTTTTCTTGTCCGTAGGGTGCCTAGGACCTATAGGATGGTCTGCACATGTATGGTAGTTTCCCAAAACATGGGGACCCCAAAATAGACCCCAATATACTAAGGTCCTTCTTATTGGGACCCCCCAAAAGAGTACCCCTATATTGGGAAACCCCTGTATGTCACGAAAGAGGTTCCCTTCTACAATCGCGCCGGCATCTCTAAACCCTAAACCCTAAACCCTAAACTTCCAAAGCCGGAGCTGGGCTTTGTCAAAATTGGGTGTTGTGGTGCCCTACAAATACTACGGTTTAGGTTTTAGGGTTTAGGCTACAACGAAAACTAAAAGGGGGCCATGGGAATGGTCCTTAGACACTATGTACAGAGACCGTGTTGAGAAACTTCCACGTTCCTCTAACTCTGTCCTGACTCGTCGTTACCATATGGCTTAGAGTATAAAAGGGTAGTTGCCTTTAATAGAGGGACCCCAACATAAGACCTCAAAATACGATACTCCTTCTCCTTGGAACCCCAAATAGATACCCCCTAATTCTTAGTACCCAAACATGGGATTTCTTTGTGCAAGTCCCCTAGGAAGAGGACCCTAAGCCCCTAAACCCTGTATATCAGCCAAACATGGGATTCTTGGTGCAGGTCCCCTAGGAAAAGGAAGCTCCCTATAGGCCCCTGCAGGTGCGCGAGTCCAAGAAGAACAAGGACTGGATCAAGCCTACCCTTCTCTAGGCTTCTTATATACTATAGTCTAAACTCCTGAAAGGGGCTTGTATAGGGGAGTATTGTAGAGGTTGCTCAGGGGATACTAGGAGTCTAGATTATAGCTCAGACGCGTATTTCCAGCTTGGGGATCTTGTTTTGGGGCCTCTGTAATACGGACTGTTATTTTTCGGGATGTAAGAAGGACCCCTCTTTTTCCAAACTCTCACATCAAACTCCATGGAACTCCTACAGACGGGGTACGCATCATGGGTCTTCGACAAGTATTGGGGTACTTCGGGACATTTGGTGCATGTATTGAGGGACCTTTTGTCGGGATCATAAACGCAGATCTTCCCCTGCGAGGCCCCGTTTCCAAAAGGACAGAGGCCTATGCTAGTCCCCTTTACAGGAGAACTCTTTGTCTGTTGGGGAGCGTACATGATGTCTGTTCAGGGATCCAAGACACAGCTTTAGCGATTGATTCATTACCCGCTTGCATTTCTGGATCATGATGCTGCTTGTGGGTAGTCTTGGCTTAATCTCAGAAGCTCCGCAAGTTTCTCCCTAATTAATGTGCCCACATGAATATCCCTGGAACTATACAGCGAAAAGAGCCAAGATCTTCATAATTGTCTTCATGCCCCCAACCTCCAGCCCAAAACCCTCAATCACACACCCTAAATCCTAAACCCGTAAAACTCTGCGAGGATGCTTTCCCAGTGTCCAAGTGCGAAGTGATTGAGAACCGCACCGAAGAAGATGGACTCTCCAGCGGATTAGTATGGGAGCTTTCAAAGTTGGACGTCTCTTCAAAGGAAGGGGCGCCTAGATACGACCCTTGAAATGGAGAGTCCAAGAAAACCATAGAATGGAAAACCAAAAATGGAAACTGTGCCGCTTGAACGGTATATGGAGGGATTCTGTAGTGTAGGTAGACGCGGCAAAATAAGGCTTAAGTAGATAGAATATGGCTTTGGATATTATAATAAGATCCCCATATAATATACCCCCTATTCTACCCAATATATAGATCCTATTATAATATATAGTAGATTCCATTTTCTTTTCCATTATCCCCATATAACCCTATATGATCCCCATATTCTATCTACTTAAGGGGGACAGTACATAGAGCTCAGGGGTCCTTTTTTGGTGCAATCACATTCAAGGGATCATTGTGTTCGGAATTCCGTAAGGAGGTAGACATGTTGCTTTTTGGAAGCCACCAGGAGGAAGCCTAGGTTCCTAGAGTTCCCTAAGCAGAAATAAATGGTGAATGGTCTTTGAACCTTCGTTTTTTGGGGACCGTACTACAAGGTTAGGGCACCCAACGGCGCTGTAGTTCTGAAAACCCCTCCAAGACCCCCTTCAACCAGTTTAACGGTTTGTTTCTCATAGATATTGCACGAGCCAAAAAACTGCAATCTTTTGCTGCATCACCCAAAATCCTGGATTTGTGACTAGTTAGGTGTAGAATCATGACCTCAGGGCGTGGGGCTCAGGGTTAAGCCCCAAGGATCAAATTTGGGGGCATTTTCAGGGGTCTGGGGTTGGGGCTTTGGGCTTTAGATCTAAGACCTCGTCACAAGGATTCAGCAGCAGTGTGTGAACACATATGTCGGGTTCAGGGTTTATCAGAGTTGTGGGGAATCCCAGCAGTTTGAATGCACTTCCGGACCTGGATGCGAACCGCGCAAAGCAACGTGTTGTTTGAGGGGCTGAGATCCAGAATCTATGCGCGCCGAGGACTGAACTTGGCTGACCTTACTGGAACCATTTTCATCGCTATCTTCATGGTGGGTATTGGGTTGATTTGCTACGTCCTAGAGGCCTGCGAAAAGCTTGTTTTGGGCTTCAGAAAAGCAGACCCTTGTTGAAACGTGAGATGAATCTGAGGGTCCTCACGGTTTCTGGGGACATGCGGTATGCATGCGCAGAGATATTGAGTTTGACATATTCTACTGCATGCCTCAGGGCCAGCGCGAGGGCGCAAGAGTCCTCGCGTGCGCATTTTGACAGGTATTGCAGCATGGGATCGATGTTCTTCACATTGTGGTCCTTTTGTGTATACGTCTATATATTGAAGACTGCATGACCTGGCGAGATATACAGGGGGCCTGTAAGTTTGAAAAACGAAGGGTTGAGTGTTTAGAACTTTGTTTTGCTTGGCGCAAACTCGCTAGCTTGCAATGAGGGACAGGCCTTTTGCAATCTGCAGGTGACCATTGTCCCGCCCCTGGAATTCTGTCCAGATGAGACAGGGGCGATCTTGGGCATTGTACCGAAACCGTGACCTCAAACCCTCTAATCCATGACCTCGAAAAACCTAAGCCCCACACCCTGAAGCGAATCCAAGAAGTTCCTTATCAAAATCACTGTGAGCCATATCCTGCCTGGTCTCATCATCAGAAAAAACTTGTCCAGAAAGTCGCAAAGCTTCTAAACCCCAAGCATCTGAACCTAGACGCATCGGCTCCCAACCCTCAAGCAATTATAGCCCCCCTTAAGTAGTTAGAATATGGGGTATTTGGGGATCTTTTCATAATATACCCAAAGCCATATTCTATCTACTTAAGGGGGCCTATAGTCCCCTAACCCAACCCATATCATCCCTAATTGGTCCTAGACAATTTAAAGACATGATGTCCTGTATTGTCTCATGCCTACATACTTTCCAGTTGGCAGTGGAACGGGAGTCTGTCGAAACAACCCCTCTAGGTCCTCAAATATATTGTGGACTCTAAGCCCTAAACCTCTAAACCCTAAACCCCTAACCCTAAACCCTCAACTGCCGTACATCCGGAGGTTTTAAAGCGGGCAAGAAGACGGGCTGACCCTCCTGATGCTCCAGATCCCAAGGCCATCGAACAATAGGTTTATGTTGGGGCTATATTGGGGTATATGGAAAAGAAAATGGAAACTACTCCAGTATATAGGGGTTATATTGGGATAATGGAAAATAAGATGGAACTACTATATTACAGGGTTTAGGGTAGGAAGAATCCTGACAGAAGTTAGCGTTTTCATACTGAATGTGAGCTGCTGAAAAGGTCACCGCCACCACCACACCGAGGCCGCCAAATCGCCGCCAACACCACCACAGCAGCCACCACCGCCGTCGCCAACACTGCAACAAGAATTACCAGGCTGCGCGTAAAGACTCTATACCCGCCACAATCTGCGGCAGGGACTAAAGAGCTGGGGGGGTTCCCAAAATTAGCTGGGGGTGTCTATGATCAGGATTCCAGTATTTCCGAGTTCCGAGTCTACATTGGCATATCTTGGGGCCCCGCTTCTGCCCCTAAATAAATATCAAAAAGCCTGAATATACCTACAATGGTCCTTTGTGGTACCCGGTGCTGGGTGTGGGATTGACCCAATGTAGGATGAGGAGCTTGAGCCGAAGCAGATCACTGCCAGCGCAGCCCCAGAGTCCGTCGAAGCTTGAGTGCAGTCATATAAAGGGAAGAATGGAAAGAACACGGAAACAACTCTAGCATACTGGGGTCATATTGGGATGGAATACTTGCTGGGGGTTAGTAGGGAATAAGGAAATACAACCCCTATGTAATATATCCCCCTGTTCCCTACGAAGCCCCACTAAGTGAGGGTTGAGTTTTAGGGTTTAGGGTAAAGGGATCTACTCCTGCTTGTTGTTCGCAGCCTTTGCGGTTACAAAGTAGTTTTGCTTAATTCCACTGCTTCAAGTCTCAAGTAATCACATCAGCCCCTGTCTGCATTAGAGGCATGCTGTCAGGTTTGTTACGGGTCACATTGCGGGATCCTTTGTGGCAGCAGTTTTGGTGGGCATCCTATCAGCGCTGTTACATGCTTTGCAGACCGAGGTGTTGGGAAGTTGAAGGTGCCTGAAGTTTTGACTTTCTGTATTATTTGGTACCCAAGACCTCACTGTCAGCGCTGGGTTCGTGCTTCATTGCTGGAAGTGCTGTGAATGAATGCACTTCTTCGTGCCTTCGGGCTCTGAAGCCTAAGCAAATGCACACAGAGGCTGCCTGCTGTCTAATCTTCTTCATAGTGTGCCTTAGTGATGGTCAAAGCTTTTGGACTTAACGTCAACATGTAGAGTCATCCGTGAAAGGCCAGAGCAGGATTGAAATATCTTCGGTAGCATAAGCTAGCAGCTATTCCTCCCTATTTAATGTAGCTGCCTACAATCCTTATGGACTCCGCCTACATTCCCCATGTGTACCTGCAAAGGCCCAGAAGAAAGCAAATCCAAACATGCCACCCTGAGACGCAGACGGGATCAGTACGGTTGGGGGCGGGGGGGGGGGCGCGGAATTCGCGCGCGGTCACTTTACGTTCTGGACTCCCTTTCGACTTTCGGCTCGGGGCGTCTCCTGCACCCCTTGCCAGGCAGCTGACGGCTTGACTGGCCTTCGGCGTTTTGCTTCACTTATTTCACCCGGAATCAGTTTGTCCGATACAGAATTTCATGCTTGTGTTCTTGTGAGATGATTATAAAGTTGCCTTAGCTTAATCCTTCTGGCCACCATAGTGCCAAATTCCCACTTGATTCTTTACATGATTGTCCACTTGCCTCTCCATAAGACATTTTTCTATGTCCTTTTCCATGTTGAAGTCATTCTCCGCTTACTCAGCTCAGGAGGAAAAGATGGAGGAAGGCCAGTGCCTGGCGGTTCCAGCAGAGAAGGCGGCGGCCGAGATGTTGGCGCCAGCACCACAGGATCGGGTGCTCAGACCAGACCGCCGGAAGGATGAGCTTTGGGGTTGAGGGCGATTCCACCAAAAATCGCTTTAAACATTGGATTCAGTTTTGGGAGTGTGTGGCCTAGCGTCCATAGTGCGGCTTGGGGTTTTGGGGGAACAGTTTCGGACTGAGGGTTGCAGGGTTCAATGCCTCAGCTTTGTTCAGTTGAAAAGGGCTTGGGGGTTGTGAGCTTTAGGGTGTGGGGAATAAGTTGGTCAAGGCTTTGGTTCAGGGACTAGGCTCTGCACGGATGCCAGTCCCTGGGCATTCTAGGAGGTGTTGGCACAGCAGGTATGATGGAAAGTGTGCTTGGGGATTCGCAAAGTCATACTTCTATCTGGATAGTGTGGAGATGACTTGAGGATTGTATGAGCAGTATGTACTGTGATTGAATAGGCATGATTCCAAAATCGCAGAGCCATCTTCGTCTGGGCTTCCTCATAGCAAGGATTTTGCTTGGGTGGGGGAGGGGAGGGGCATCCAAAGCACTCCCAAAGATTGTGAACAAGTCCTTGCTAACTCCCAGGATCTATAATTATAGTTGATCCGACCTCTTGGATGTTTGGAGGTCATGGAGGCTCCTCCACAAGAACAGCAGGCGTTGCTGGATGAGGAGGCATGCCGCGCTGTAAAAACACACGTTAATTACCAATATTATGGTCCTAAGGTCCTTGTACAATTACGGCACAGAGTACCTCAAGTAGACCTCAACCTGACATTGGTCATTCTCCTATATAACCTTTAAAGAGCTTAGAATATAAGTTATTTAGGCTTCTACAGTTCCCAAAAAGGACCAGGCATGCCTTTTCTTTGGGGCACTTGGAAGGTCAGGGGGACACAGTAAGTAGGTTCATAGCGCCTTATGGCCCATCTAGTACCGCTAATTACCCCTCATTATTAACCTACTTACTAAGTCCTCCTGAGTCAAACCCCTAAACCTTGCCTAAATCATGTACAGTGGTTTCCATTTTCTTCCATTATCATTATTACCATATGTTCTTGTAGGCTTAGTGTTCCTGCGCGTATTGCTCACCATCAAGCTTTGCAAGGCGCAGTATTCCCAGAACCCCCCTTCAGGTTCACTATCTGCTTATATGGTAGTTTCTGTAAATGGGGGACCCCAATATAAACCCAAAACTGTTGTCATCCTTATTGTCAGGACTGCCAAGAAGGTACCCCAAATTTTGGGACACCCACATATAATCCTTTCCTCCCGCATATTCTGTTAGGCCCTCTGTCTGCGGAGGACCCCTAAGATGTTTGACACACGGAAAAAGCATTTCAAGTTGGCGTGCATCATAGCGTGTATACAGCAGGATGCGTGTGTGGTCCTTCCCTACGCTCAAGCACCCCTGCGCCTTCTTATTGGGTACACCACATCATGCTATGATATTCGGATCCGGGTGAGTTTGCTTTAAAACAGGGAAGGGGGGACAGCCTTCCAAAGGACAAGGCCAGCGTGCCCAAGACGCGGCTCCACGGCAGCCGTGTATCAGAGGCCTGTGTGGGGTTCAACGTAACATATATATATATAGATATACACATGAGCATACATGGTCTCGCGCTGTGCGTTCCCAGCCCCTCCCCCCCCCCAAAGGTATCGTTCCAAAAGTACCGACGCTCCTCATCGCAACCCTCATAACTGTCGGTACTTTGGGCCCCTTATGTCTTTGTCGCGTTTCAAAAGTACCAACAGTCACAAGGATCTGGGTGGCCTTAGTCCTATCTTAATATTCTGTAGAATCATGAACCCTCAATAAACCTTCTTGCAAGCTTCCGTGCACCATTTATAACCCTTCTATGAACACCATAAATCCACAATATCCTCTCCAGAATCCTATTGTAAACAACAAGATTGTGGGGTGGGGTGCAACTCTCGTTAAACCTTAATTTAACCCACAAGACCCAGACCACAGGCCACAGGATCATCTAAGAACATAACCGCCATACCATTGCTGTGGGGGCCCGCCGGGGCGTGACCGGGTCTTGCGCTGCGTTCCCCTGACATGCTTCAGCAGTGCCAACAGTCACAGGGATGGCCCCCTCGGGGTCGCCATCCTCGTAATTGTCGTTGTTTTTGGCGTGACCATATATATATATATACATATAGTGCAGCGCCCTGCATGGTCCTTTTTATTTCTTAAGAAGGGCCCCCATGAATCCATGTGTGCAACCCAAATATGGTCTGTATCAGCTCCCTGTTTCGAGAAAGGACCAGATTACGCAGACTGGATGTTTCTCAAAAGGTCGCGCGCAGGCCATGTGAGCCATGGCCTGCGCTCGTTAAGGCGGGTCATACAGGGGATTACATAGGGAACTAGTATAGGGCTTATCAAGAGGGATACTTGGAGTTTAGACTATAACCCTTGTGCAGTCTTTATTGTATGTGTTATGTAGGAATCTAAAGGCCTTGGGACGAAATTGGACAGGTTCAGGACTGAGAGGACTCGCGAGAGCACAGGAAAGTGAAGAACTTGCATAGGATCTTCGGCCGAAGCATGAACATTTCGGAAACTGGGCCTCCCCCTGCATGCACCCAAAATCAAAGTAAATGAACAAAGCAGTCCCGGATGTGCTGCTTGGGCCCGTCAGAGGACTCGGGCAAGCCCGCCCCGCAAGGACAAGGTGTGCTGGAAGACGAGGCATGTTTCCTTCAAAGCCGAATCGGGTTGTGGATTTCTCAATCATCCTACGTAAGCCGCACTAGGGACCCCAACAATCCCTCTGTAATCCCACCATATGCCTGGAGTCCCCAAGAGCCCCCTGTTGTGAGAATCATCCCTTTTGGATGTTGTGCTACTCAGCACGTGTTTTATTTTATTGTGGGCATCATCCAACTGTTTCTGGCCATCTAGCAGGCTTTTCAGAAATTCACGCATACACAAAAAACCATGCATCACTGGAATGCAGTGAAGTAGCAGCACTCACATCAGCACCTTGTGCGAGACCTGTCCAAGTTGTCAGCTTCATGTATTAGCTTATTGTTGCACATTCAGAACACGTGCACGGCAAGTCGGGGTGCTCGCAGAAGAGGCCAAGAGGTGCCGATGTATGGCCACCTGTAGAGAGAAGAAACTGACCAGGACAGCCTTAAGTTTCAGACACCTTCGACTCCGTCCGGGACCTTGACATGCAAAAGTGAGATGCGTGTTGAAAGGGCCCTCGATCAAAATCCTTGTGCCACAATGCGACGGTGGATACCAAAAATCCTGCATGGCCTTGAGCACGTCATACCTGGGAGTTAGGGATGAGTAGTCTACCAAGGTCATGCAGGATATTTAGTATCAACCGGACCTCTTCCATCTTGACATTGCCCAAGCTTCCCCCAAGTGAATTTCTTCAGCGGAAGCACAGAGGGGTTCCTCTCGCGCATCGAAGTTTTTTTCTGGCTTAGGGCTCTTGGGATAGGTGAAGCTAATATACGTGCAATAATTAGAGTAATAATCGTAATAACAGTAGGAAGAATAAGAATGGTGATAGACCAACTCAGACTCTACAGAGTCAGAGGATGGGGGTTACCGGGTTGAGGCCTTCTTCTTGCCATCAGAGACAGAATGTGAAGTGGCCGGAAAGGTGTTCCTTTCCTGGAAGCAGCAAGTGACTCGAATTTAGGCTTGCTTATCTTGACCTCCAGTAGCCCCTATTGTTTAGATACTCCCGAACTACATGCCCCTAGCCCCAACCCCTCTGATCTCTTAGAATCTTCCATGCCCAAGAAGTTTCCCTGTAGAAACCCCCCAAGACTCTTTTGTTGTCCCGATCTCTCCCTAGCCCGAGACTCCACTTCGTAAACCCCGCAAACACAGCCCCTGAACCCTACACCCTTGAAAGTGCCCCCACAGGCGCTTCAGGAAAAACCCCAAGCAGCCTCGCACAAGCCGCGGCACCACGGGAGCCGAAGCTCCGAGGCCTGCCAAAATAGGCATGTATGGGGTGATTATGAGTGTCTCTAGTAATGGGATGGTTCATGGCTGCTGAAGGTTCCGGGATGAAGGTTGAAGGGGTTTAGGGCTTCACGGTTTACATGGCTTGGAGCTGTAGGGTTTCGACCTAGATGTTTGGAGTTGAGGGTTGCAGGGCTTTATGATGTTCAGGCTGTCCAGTTTAGTGTGAAGGGCTTGGAAGTTTAGGTTTTAGGCTTAGCAGTTTTAGGGACCAGGCTTGGTAAAAGCCATTTTCTTCAGATTGAGGGTGCAGCGTTGAGGGAAGAGGTGAATACCTTGAGATTTGTGTCTAAAGTTCTGGGAGGGGTAGTACGGAATCCTGCCGTATAGTGTTTTTGTGCCCTGTTGGGACGAAACAGAGGTGATATAGACATGCACATGGGTCAGGGACCTTGAAGCTGAACTTTATCATGGTAGGGCTCAGGTGTATCAGCCTAAGGGGCTTCTATATTCAGCCCGGAAGCTCGGCATGAAACCCATACCGTAAGCCCTCAACCATAAACCTTCCTGAGCCATAGACCCGCCCATGGGCCCTAAACAGTATGGCTCATAGCAGGAGTCTGATCTGGGCTCAGATCCGAGCCCTATCTTGCAGCCGCAAAGCGGCCCACCGCAAGCATCTCCCCTGGTGCATGATCTCGCGAGCTCAAGGCTCTGGTCTACAGGGCCTCTTAAGCAAACGGGGGGTAATTGGTAGGGAGGAGGTCATGGGTACATAATCTGTTTTGTTGGGTGGGGGTGGGGTTGTCGTCCTACATCCATGTTTAAATGGGGATTTGCGATTCGTAAAACTGGAAACACCTCGTTCGAAAGGCTTTGCTAGGGTAGTCTCTTGCAGGTGGTTATATGTCCTTGCATGGTTTCAGGAGGATTTGCCCTAAGCGCAGGTCCAGCGAAATGAGCAAAGGAGGATCCTGCTTGCAACTGAACACCGAAGAGTTTTCCTGTGACAACAAAGCCGTGCACCACCAACAGCATCTGTAACCCCCGAAGTTACACCCATTGACACCCATTGACGCATCCTGAAGCATGCAAATTCAGCTGTCAATACTGCAGGAGGTCCTAACTACAGGTTTGAAAGATACAGCTTTTGTTGCCTGACAAGGGAGAGCCTGCGAGCTCAAAGGTCAGCAACAATGTGACAACATGTCTAATTGATCTTCAATAGGTGTGGTTGATGCTCAGCTCGTGTTCTCGGTTGCACACATTTGTGCGTTCCAGCTTTCTTGAAACAGATCGCCTGCATGAATCATAAAGCAAACTCAATTCTGAAGAATTATCATATGACAGTTTGCGGAGTAAGCCCTGCAGAATCTCTAAGCAAGGCATGCATGCATAGTGCAGGCACTTTTGCGTACGCAAATTTCGAATTCTCGAGACATTCCTATTTGCGAGACTTGAACTCAAATTCCAAACCCTAAACCTAAACCCCAAACAGCCCTAAACCTCTGAACCCTACACCCTAAAGCCTAAACACCAACTCCGTGAGGCCCACGAAGATGACTCCTCGGGACGAACAGTACGTCAGAAACTGGGTCATGGTCAGGCAAACAGGCATATATACTTAAGGACTTAAGGGCCATAGGGGTTCCCAGAGAAGTATTTTGGGGCCCAAATGTCACACCGAGTATACGCATCGTGGTTTGTTATGGGTCCGGATGTTTTTTTTAAGATTCTGGGAGTCCCCGTCATGAAGAATATGATATATTCCCCTGTTTTAGGGGGTTCCCAAACAATCTCTCTTACGCAAGTACTACAGGCTTTGGAGAGTATACAAATGACATTTTAAAACGGTGGCTCTAACCCAAACCCAGCCTCCCTAAGCCGAAACCTTAACCTCAAGAGGGCAATGTTTGAAAATCATTTGTTATGTCTTAACCTTCATTCCTATATACCCCGCATAAAGCCATAGCAGTTTATTTTCATAGGGCCCCCCGAAGCTGATCCAGGAAAGGGTCCGCGCCTGGTGACCGTCGTCAGGAGTCCTCGGTAGCTGCGGTCGGGTGGCCGTTCTTTACCGCGCAGTAGACGCCGCAATCGTGACGGACTGGGAAACAGCTAGCAACTAGCAAGTATGGCTGAGGAGATAGGAAGGTGGTTGTGAAGGACATGTTATCTGACAAACCATGCAATCAAGCATTCTTCTCAAAACAGTGGGACATTAGGCGTAGGATGATAAGAGCCGCCACACCGTAGCCAGAACGGCATTGGGCACCCTAGCGCCCATTTTCTTATCAACGCATTTGTGGCAGTGGGAAAAAGCCGAGGCCCTGTAGGATCCCGGCGGCATTCTCTTCCTTGGTGGATCGTACTTCCCAGTTCTCTGGTATACCCTCAGCGCACAAGACTTTGAGAACTTTCGGTTCCAGGCTGCCATCCCAAAGGGATGGCGCCAGCCCATGAAGAATGCTTTTGGCTGAAGCCAAAGGCCAACATGTTGGGCATGCAAACCCTTCCGGGCTTGATGCAATTGCTCTTATTGTTGTATGTTACTAAAGGTAATCCATCATGTATTGGTGTTTTTACTTCCTTTAATCCTTGTGCTGATGGCTAGCATGGTGCTGAAAGCCTGAGCTGCCGGCAGCAGAGAGACCAGATGCAAAGGTTCATGGGTTCTTGTGGCTGAGGGCGCCTGAATAATTACTGCTGTGGGTGATGCTTGTTAGATATTCCAGCGACACCTCCACAAACAGGCTGAGGTTTATCATGCCGCTATGACTTGAAATTCTAGCTGGTATTGGTTATGAGTATAAGTATTGGTGTACAACCCATGAACCTCCAGGTAGCTCTGTGATTTCCAGCATGAGGGCGAGCAATGCTCGGTGGCGAAGAGCGGCTAAGAGCCGTGGTTTTGAACCCTCAGCCCTGGACCCAAACCCTAGACATTGGTAGGGAGGATATTCATAGGGACTACATGCCCTTGTTCCCAACGAAGCCCCAGTAAGTAAAATCGTCAACCTCAAAAATGACCTAAGTCATGGGAAGAAGAGAACCTCAATTTTTTAGGATGGCCCAGTGGATAACAGTCCCTCACAAACCTTATAAGGGAACTGCTACGCTGTAGCTGGGTTCCCGAACCCCTATGCAATTTCATGGGGCTTCCAAAAATTTTAAGGGTCACTTTTTGGAGTCCCCATAGTAAGGGTGATAGCGTACAGAGGTCTATTTTGGGGCCCCATATTTATGGAAACTACCTCATGGTCTCTCAAAGTCTCATGGGAATTAGGGAAAGCCTGTCTGGAAGCTGCATACGCGCGAGCAACATAAAATCGGCAGTTTGGATCGGGGCTTGACTTCCTGCGAAATACCTGCGAATTCCGGTGGTAGAGTTTGGCACCCGAAGCCCTAAACCCTACTTAAACCAATCCTGAGAAACTGTCGTTCCGCCCTTGCCCGTCCTTTCACCTTCATGCTCTCTATACCCACGAAAGCCCCCTGGACAGAAAATCCACAGAAAACCTCTACACTCGCTATCACTCGCTGAAATCATAGCTTTCACTAAATAGGGGACCCCAAGGTAGACCCCAATATACGTCCTTATTCTCGGGACCTCCAAAATGGTACCCCTAGTTCTGGAAAACCCCCTTAACCCTAAACTTCATACATTTCTATACACCCCTATATAACCCCCTAGAACCCCTTCAAGCCCCATTGCTACAGAGTAAAGCTCTGACAGAACCAAGTTCAGCTCCAAGCGGTCAGGCAACGACGCTCTAAAAGCAGGACAGCTACCTTTGGCCATTGCTTGCTACACCATGGCAATCTCGGCCGCTGGGGCAAAACTTATCCTCCCTAATAATGAGCGGGGGCTGGTTATCAGTAAGGGGCGCCTAGTGTAGGAGGGCATTTTACCTTCAAGACTGTGGTGAGCCATAGGGCCTTGATATGGTGGGGGCCAGTATCATAGAAGATGCTTCTTGCAGTTAGGTGATGTTGCAAGAGGGGCAGCTTGTTTAGCAGGGGATGAGCACTTTGCCTAATGCCTGCCTTGTCAAGCGGCTAGGTCTCAATTTTGATCCTTTTCTGGGATTTACTTAAGCCACGCCACTTTAAGCCAGGACCCCCTGCATACCCTGCATACCACATAGCGACATCGTCTTTAAGTTGCCCGCCCCAACAATGGATGCAAAAGCTTCAGACGCCAACCTTTAGGGGTTGTTTGGGATCTGCTCTTCCCCTGCAAGTTGAAACAGCTGGAAGTCCTGTCTAGTTCAAATCCTGCCCAGAGATGCCCACAGAAGAAAAAAGAGAGTTGGCAAAATCCAAAACTTTTTAATGAACCCACCCAGTGCCTCCTCTCAGCAAACATGGAACGTCATGTAGCTTGCTTTTGAATTGACTGTAGTCTTTGCAGGGTCCTCATGCAGTCGAATCTTGGTTTGGGGGAAAGTCTACCTGCAAGCCTTCTAGCTCCTAGCCTATCCCAATGCCACCATGGAACCTGCAAAAGGACCCTATCAGGAGGGCTACGGTCTTGTAAAAGCGCCCTGTTTTGACCACATGTTCGTTTTGGGGAGGGTGTCAGTCATGAGCAGAGGTGGGCCTCTTGGCCTGACTGCTGTTCCTTGAGCTAGCAGCCTTGAATCGTGTGCTTAGAGATATCCTATCCCGCTTTATCTGGAGGATGCCAGCATGACAGCAATCATCCCTGGAAGTATATCAGCAGGATCTCTGCAATCCCCAGGAAATCTGGAGTTCTGAGGGGTTTCAAGACAATCTAGAAGTCCAAGATTATCCCCTTGCATCTCTTTTATGCTTATAGTTTAACTATAGTATAGTACACAACGAAATCCTATTTTAATCGTTTGAGCCCTAATGTGACTCCAACTGAGGCCATCCGACCTCTGGCAGAGACTGCCGCCAACTTCAAGCAGAATGCCTGCTTCCCAGCCCAGATTCCCAAAAGTCTATTTAGGGGTATGGGGTTTCGGGGCTTCGGGTTTAGGGTAACCCCTAGGTGCGCCAAAACTGAGACCACCCAAAAACCTATTTCTCATTTGTCAAACGAGGGTGCTGTAGTGTAGGGTTCCATCCAATTTCCTGCAACCTTTAAGTAGAGCATCTTGGAGAGTGTCATCATATACCAGGGCTTTACAGGGCTTGTTAGGCAAAGATAGGTTCCACCAGGGGTGTCCACAGAGGTCAAGATTAGAACTCTTACTTAAGCATTGTCAAGAAACAGACGATGCGGCTATGATCCCCCAACGAGGAAGATGTACGGACGATTCCATGGTTCTGGTTGGCTTGTCAGTAGGGTTTAGGGTTTGGAGTTTCGTACACAATCTTCGCACTCTGCAATCGAAAGGGCAGCTAACACGAGTCTGTTACACATCGTTGGTGAAGTTTTTGGCAAAGACTCTCGTATCCCCTCGCGAACTGCTCCCGTGCCCCTCGAATCCCTTCAACTTGGCCGGTCCTTCGTTTGAGAAGTACTAAGCAGCGGGTAAGAGCCTAGCCCAGCGAGGTTGACCTACATGATGGGCCTCATGGGTTATTGTTTCCTGTAATCTCCACCCTGTATCCTAAACCCTAAATAGTAGTTTCCATTTTCTTTTGCATTATCCCTACAAGAATCCCTATATTACCCTATACAACCCTGGTGGTGTAGAACGCTGCGAGGCTGCTGTTTACTCCTCCAACCGTTCGGCTGCGTTTGCCAAGCTAAAGCGGGAGCCCTGGGCACTTAAGAGGTGATGCCTTGCATATGCGAGAAGGGATTTCAGAGCATCAGTTTACATTCCAGCTCCAAATGGCGCACAAAAACCCAAGCCCCAGAAGGAGGCGATATCTTGAGACGCTGGAACCAGGGAAGAGTTAAGCAGGTCGACTTTGGAATCCAGGGTCACGCTTGTGTGCTGGAGGAATCTGTTCTATGCTGCAAGGCCCCATCATATCCTGAGAATCTCCTAAGCAGCAGCAGTAGTAGTAAATTTCATCGCGCGCTGTGCAAGGGACGAAACATCAGAAGCCCTCCCAAAAACACAGAGTCAGATAGCGCAGTACGACCACTGCATATGACCCTGCTATATGCCAAAACCAAATGCGTTCAAAGCAAGGTCGTGTGAGATTCCAATAGTGCCCCCTAACTCTGCTTGTGCCACGGCATTTCCCAAATAATATTGCTATAGGGATAATGGAAAAGGAAATGGCAACTACTATTTAGGGTTCAGGGTATAGTGTTTACACTGCTGTTGGTGCTGCTTCTGTATCAGCTACGACTGTATGCGGGTTTCTACAAACAGGTGCCCCAACAAAAGCCTAGGATAGTATAACATTATAACTTACAATGCTTTTGTGGAGCCAAGCTTTGGACAATGCTGTATATGATCCTGACTTGTGGGTTATCTTGCCAAAATTCTGGCAGACGTGACAAATTGAGGCAGTGGTTTTTCTCGCTTGGAGATGCACAAGAGTCTGCTCGACTTAGCAGACCTCTCAGACGGTACCACCCTGGTTGTTTCAGCTGCCGGTAGAGTGTTGAACATGTGAGTTGGAGTCTAAACTCCTCAATGGAGGCTAGACAGGGGGACTATTGTAGGGGTTATTAAGGGGGATACTAGAAGTTTAGACTAGAACATGTGGAGAAGTCTATGCACTGTAGGATTTTTGAGGTTGGTAGCCCCACGTGCGCACATATCCTACTTGCTTGTAGTTGCGTGGCGTGTGAGATTTTCAAAGGCTGTACATGTACGCGCGTTACGTACAAGAGTTGAAGAGAAACGTCAAGTGAGACTGCGTGACTTAAGCTATTTCTGGTCCTTGCCGTGGCAGTATCATTGCTAGGAGAGAGAGCATTCGAACGAGAAAAAGCGGAGATTGGGTATTGCGCTGCTTCTGGACAAGCCGTGCGGCTTATGGCAGCAATCACGGCAATTGCTCGCACACTTCCTGATTAAGGCGTCACCTGAGTTATGATGTCTCGGCCCACTGAGCATGTTCACACGAAGTTTCCTTCTCACCAGGGGGCGTGAGACACTGCACGGTTTTTAATTT